TTTATAGTCCATTCACCCTCTTCCTTCTCTTTCTTTCTCTCTTGTTTGTAGGATTTGAACTCAGGACCTAGGCTAATGCACTAAAGTAGTGTTTTACCACTTTGAGCAACAGCTCCATTTCTGGGTTTCCGGTGTTTAACTGGAGATAAGATTCTCACATACGCTCCTGCCCAGGCTGGCTTTGAACTGTGATTCTTGATCTCAGCCTCCTCAGTAGCTAGGATTATAGGCATAAGCCACTGGGTCCTGGCCTATAGCCCATTCTTAATTTTAGATTATTTATGGAAAAAAGGAAATTTCTATTTATAAAAGAACTTTTCACATTCTGGAAATTTACATGGATAAAGAATTCCTTTTGTTGTGGCAGCTCTATGAAGAGCAAACCCTTAAGAAATAAGAAACTAAATTTGAGCTCAGTGATTCCCACATTTAATCTCTAAAGACTTGGGAGGATCATGGTTTGCAGCTATCTAGGGGAAAAGACTGAATATCAACAAGCCAGGCATGGGGGTATACACCTGTAATCTCAGCTATGCAGGAAGCATAAGTAGGAAAATATTGCTTCAATGAAATGCTCTTAAGTTCAAACCCTAATACTGTTTTTTTTTTTTTGAAAAAGAAGAAATGGGTCATTAAAATTTGTTTTTGCGATCTTATGTTTGTAAAACTTTGGTGTAAATGCTTTCATATGACTAAAGAGTCTTTTGCTGTTCTTCAGGGGCGTGGAGTTAACAGCCCTGAAGGAAGACGCCTCAGTGGAGGAGGAGACCCTGGGTGCCCTGGATGAGGAGTCTCCAGCCAAGAACTGTGTTTCACGTATGTTCCTCATTGGGTTGTATTCTTTTCATACATCTTCTTAATGTATTAATGAAGAGCAATCTAGTTCAAGCTATTTAATGAGTAATTTTTTTTAACTTAGTCATCTTATTTGGGTTCTGAAACTTGAATCCCCATTTTTTTTCCTGGCTTACAGTAGAAGTCATTGTGTCTTGCATTATGACCATAGTAATTCTCTGCTTCCTTTTATAATATAGTTTTTTTATCTTTAGGTAGTTGTACAAAGCGGTTTAGGAATACAATGTGTCTTGATCAATGTTACCCTTTCAGCATTCTCCCCCAATCCTCCAAGTCACCTCTTCCCTTACTTACCTTAATTGTAGGCTATCTATTGAATGTTTTGCAATTTTACAAAGCAGTTTATGTGTACTCTGCATCTTGACTTTTGTCACCAAGTCAATGTCTTCACACACCCCCTTTTGACACACCCTGTCCCTTAATATGTCTCAGTTCTCTGGTATGGATTCTTGCCTGCATTCTCTACCCTTCCCCCCTCATCTACCCTTCTCCCCTTTCTTCCTCCCTTCCCCTCTTGCTAGCACACATTTCTTGGTTCTTGTTTTGCTGGGCTTTGACTTAAAGTCTACAGAATTGCTAATGAGTGATTTAATTTTTTTTTTAGGTACTGAGGTTTGAACTGGAGTCTTGAGCTCTTGCTCAGATTGCTGACAGCTAGTGTTGTACCACATGGTTTCTGCTGGTTATTTTGGAGATGGAATCTAGCAGAATTTTTGCCTGGGCTGGCTTCAAAATGCAATCCTCTGGATCACAGTCTTCTGAAGAGCTAACATGCAGCATGAACCAAACCTAAGTGTTAAGTGTCCTGGGAGCTAGATACAGGATTTTTGTGAGCTTTATCCTAAGTAGGGGGGGGGGGGAGAAGTTAAAAATCCATACATTATTTTGCAGAATCAAAGTGGTATTACAATATGAGAATGACAAAAAATCTCTGCATGGTTTAGATCTCACGTGCTGCCCTTGACCTGGCACTTTTTGCCTTTTCTGGCTGTGGTTCAGCCACCTGCCCGGTGGATAAGTTGTCTTCAAGGTATCTTGGTCCTGAAGTGGGACTTGGATTACACAGTGGCAGTTGTAACCAGGCCAAGGACAGGGCAAAATCCACTTCCAGGGTATGGCTCCTTAGTTCCCCATGCAAGTAGGATTACCAGTGGAATTTCTCTGAATTTGACTCCAGAAAACAATCATTGAACCAAAAGGAAAGGCTACCAAATACTTTTCCCCTTCCTCCAATCCCTCCTTCCTTGGTAAAATACAGAATAATTTTGCAGGTTTTGGCACACACACAAATCACCCACCCACCCTTGGTAAACTAGGTTGCAAGTGACTAAATCATGTAAATGCATAATGCCACACTCTTTATTCTGGTCAACATCTTCAGGTTGTTTGATGCTTTAATTTTTTTTTAATTTCTTTTTGTCAGTTGTGGGGCTTGAACTCTGTGCCTGAGTGTTAACATGTTCCTGAGCTCCTCAGATAAAGGGGAGCCCTCTACCACTTGAGCCACAGCAATACTTCCACTTTTCTGGTGGTTAATTGGAGATAAGAGTCTCACAGACTTTCATGCCAGGGTTTGCTTTGGACCGTGAATGTTTAAATTATATTTCTATATATTTCTGCTAATTTCAGGAGACTTGGGTCTCCTTCCTCTTTTATTTTCCAGTATCTTTTCTTGGTTTGGAACAAATGTCATGGACTGTCCATCCATTCAAAACTAAACTTATTTCATTAATTTATTAGAAAAGGAATACAGCCTGTCTGCATCTCAGGGCAGCTTTGCATATAATGTTACTCTGATAATTCACATCAGTGAATTTTCAGTCATTTTGATAGTTTTTTGTAAACCACTCACTAAAGAGGTCCCATAAAGCAAGAATAAATAATAATGTTCTGATTTCTAACAAGGTTACAAAAACTAGTAATTCAACAAAACACATTCTATTCTTCCCAGATTCCATGGTGAAGAAGCCCTTAACACTGACCCCCTCCTTTCAAACTTGTAGCTTTATTCAGTATTACTGTTCTAGCTTTCATTTCGGGACTAGCATCAGTAATCTCCTTGTAGTATTTGACAGTGAAATTCCATTTGTTGATAGCTCAATTTATATTGACAATGGAAGACTCATATGTCATTGAATAGCATTAATTACATGCAATTATTCTATAAATTAATATAACTACCACGTATGTGTATCTTCATATAATTTTTAAAATGCAAAACAGTTACATATCTATGTCATAAAATAATTCAGATCACTAGTAAAAGAGACTAGGCTAAACCTAATACATCATCCCCAATATTCCTTATAAAGTGTTCTGTTCTCATTAACTTTTACCTGAGGCCTTCCTAGCAACCAATGTTACGTTGATGACCCTACACTTTAGTCACCTCTGTATAATCTCTTTTCTTTCAACCTCCAGTTAGTCGCTCATACACCTGAGGAATAACTTGTCCCAATGTACCTGCAAGAGGACAGGAGTACCCACGTCGACAGATTGTGCCCACTCTGCACTTGTTTTCTTAGGGAATGGAGTATCAGTATCAGCACTGTCAGAGATCAAGTGGCTATAACCATGGTACTATGAATTATGGGTAGTAGAACAGAGTAGCAGAGACTAGGATACCCAAGGAAAGAACGATTGTGACTGTAATTGTTGAGTTGCCATGGCCAGGTGTAGGAAGCATGCCTGGAGTTCACTCTTTCTGCTACTCCGAGCCCAGGGCAGCCAGGGAGGTTCCAGATCTGGACCAGGACCAAGCTTTGTGGACAAGACTGGGTGGGGCATCTGGGGTCCTGTGTGGTGGCCAACTCATGCGGGCTGGGAACTTCCTTAGCATGGCCTAGGCTTCTCCACGGAAAGGCACATTCACACCTGTGCCTCTTCTGTCTTCAGGATTCCTGCTGTTCTCCTGCCTCCTGCCATGTCCAACTACATGTGTCAACTTCTCCACACCACTGGAAGGCCATCCCAGAGATGCTCACAGGGCTTCCCATGCCCGGTTCACCATGCATGCAGGGTTCTGGGGTGCCATCTTCCAGGCAAAGCATACCCGCATTTCAGCTTGGCCACTCCTGTCTAGGGGACCACGAACTGCATTCTTACACAGGAAGCTAGGGGTACACAAAGTCATCCTGCAGTCTAAGGCATCCTTTCTCTCCTCCTGCTCAGTTGTGGGGCGGCTGTGGAGCCAACCAAAACATCACATTTGATTATCTAAAAGAAGAGGAAAAAAGCTTCATTGTCCCAGATATAACTGCCCCTGGGATTCTCTGTACAAACGAGGTGTGTGTGTGTGTGTGTGTGTATGTGTGTATGTGGGTGTGGGTGTCTGTGTGTGTGTGTGTGTGTGTGTGTGTGTGTGTGTGTGTGGTGTGAGAGAATCAGACACAACTGAGGTTTGGGGTAAAACACTTCTTTCCTTCAGCATTGAGTTTTGGTGTCTAGTTGTTGTCCCCCCCACCCCGATTCTGAGTCAATGTTCTAAACTTGTCTTTCTATATACTTTTTTTTGTGAACATACTGTAGAGAGGGGTTACAATTACATGGGCAAGATAATGAGTACATTTCTTATCAAGCATTGTAGCCTCCTCCTTTGTTTACCCTTCACATCCCTTCCCAGCCTCCTCACACCCCCTCCCATGTTGGGAGCCAACAGTAAAGCTCCAAGGTCATCTCGACCCTTGTGCTCACTTGAAGGCACGTACAAGGAACTGGCTTTCATGAAAAACACCAGGTGCCCGGGTCTGCTTTGCTATGTCTGTAGAGTTTGTTTTACTTTCTACCAGGTGACCTTGTCTTGTTTCAATCTGCACCTTGTTTTTATTAAAATTTTCCTTGTTTCTCTGCACTATGGTGACCTTAGGTTACATCTTGACTTCTAATAGTATATAATAAGGAGAGTTAAAAATAAACGGTGCTGTAGTCTTGAGCTGCAGACCTCCCGACCCCATCCTTTGGCTTATGTCTTTATTTTTCTGTCCTCGCCCCCTAATTCAGGATTCCCTTTTGTTGCCGGGTGGTTCTGGCAAGTGGCGCCTGAACAGGGACCCTGAAAACCTGGGATCAAGGCAGAGGACCCCGCTAAGTTAAGAGGATGCATCCAGAAAAAGAGTGGGTGATAGTATAGTTGGGAGTAAGAAATTATGGGGCAAGGTAACAGTCGCAAGTTATATGCGCAGGCTCTTAAGGGCATGCTCCAAGCTCGAGGAGTTAAAGTTGGACAGAGTCAATTAGAGAGTTTCTTTCGCTTTATCGAGGAAGTATGCCCCTGGTTCCTTGAGGAAGGAACCATTAGTTTAGAAGCTTGGCAAAAAATAGGAAAAATGATTCAGGAACATTATGATGCAAGTGGCCCTGAAACAACCCCAGTGGATGCTTTTACTCTTTGGCATTTAGTTCAAGAATTTCTGGACCCCAGACATGAACAAATAAAATTTAATCAGTTGATTGGGGAAGTTGAACAGGGTAACAAGTCTTGCCTGCTCCAGGAGAGCATACTGCTGCCCAAGAGAAATCAAATAAATTGATAAAAGTTGAATCTATTGGGTCAGAAAATGAGGAAAAGTCAGATTGCTCTGATGCTGAGGAAAAGTCAGATGACTCAGATGCTGAGGAAAAAATATATGATGACCCTACTGAGGATAAAACAGTCCATTTTGAGAAAATGTTGAATTCAGTTATAAAAAATTGTCAGATTGAAGCAAAGCAGCAACCCCCTTTAAGGGTGAATGTTTGTGAGCCCACTTTAACAGTTCCCAAGGACTCAGATTTCTTTCTGCCACCCCCTCCGCCTGTTATTCCCCAGGTGCAGTCTACTGGGTCAGTGGAGCCTAGTCGGCCCAGGCCTTTGAAGTTATCTAGTCCTCCTAATGATGAATTCCCTCTTGGGACAGGGGCTATTTGCCCTCCCAGGCGTAGTGCCTTGCAGCTCTCATTAGCACAGGCTGCTCAAAGAGTGGAGGATATTTCTGGTTTTCATTTATTTCCTGTAATGGAGGACCAAAAGCAACAAAGAACTCACCAACCTATTCAATTTAAACAAATAAGAGACTTGAAAAATGCTTGTTCTCAATATGGACCTACAGCTCCATTTACGCAGGTAATTTTGGAAACATTGTCCACTGATGCTTTATGCCCTAATGATTGGAAACAATTAGCTAGAGCTTCTCTTAGTGGAGGAGATTACTTGTTGTGGAAGTCTGAATTTGTGGAACAGTGTCAGGCCACAGCAGAGGTTAATAGGGCTAATAATATACCTACTACTTTTGCAGAGCTTGCTGGGGAAGGTGCTTATAATGACATCCATACCCAGTTAAATTACCCTGTGGGCACATATGCTCAGATTAATGCCACTGCTAAGCGTGCCTGGAAGAAACTTCCTAACTCTAATAAGACTGAGGATCTTTCTAAAATTATACAGGGACCAGATGAACCTTATCAAGATTTTGTCTCTCAGTTACTGGGGGCAACAGGCCGTCTCATCCAAGATGGGGATGCTGGTATGGTTTTTGTACAACAATTGGCATATGAAAATGCTAATGCAGCTTGGAAGCAGCCATTAGACCATTTGGAAAAAAGGAGGAATAACTGATTATATTCGGCTCTGTGCCAACATTGGCCCATCCTATATGCAGGGCCTCACACTGGCTGCTGCACTTCAGGGACAAACCATAACTGAATTCCTCCCCACTCCTCAGGGAGGCAAAAATGGAGGAAGACTTCTCCGAGGTGCTGGACCTCCTGGCAGTTGTTTTTCTTGCGGCCAAATGGGCCATCTAATAACTCAATGTCCTAATCAGAAAAAGGGAATTAAACTAAGGAGATGCCCCCGATGTAATAAAGGAAGGCATTGGGCCAGAGATTGTAAATCTACTTTTGATAGTGCTGGCCATCCGATTCCAGAAAACTGGCAGAGGGGCCAGCCCCTGGCCCCTCAACAAAAAAACGGGGCAGCCCTGTCCTTTTCACGGCTTCAGGCCTACCCGCTGGCAACCAACAACAACAACAACAAACGGTTTCCAATCTCCTCAGAGCAACCCCAGGAAGTGCAAGATTGGACCTCTATTCTTCCACCTACACAGTATTGACTCCTGAAATGGGAGTTCAAGCTCTGCCTTCGGGCATATTTGGCCCCCTTCCAAAAGGATCTGTTGGCCTATTATTAGGCCGCAGTAGCTCGGCATTGAGAGGCCTACATATTACCCCAGGAGTGATAGATCAATACTTTACTGGAGAAATAAAAATTATGGCCTCAGCACCTTCTGCAGTTATATCTATTTCTGCTGGGCAAAGAATCACTCAGCTGGTCCTTGTTCCTTTACTCTCTGTTGGAAATTCTGTTACTTCTGCCCCTAGAGGCACAAAAAGTTTTGGGGCCTCAGATGTATTCTGGATTCAAAATATAAAACAAGGAAGGCCTGAACTTATAATTTATATTCAAGAAAAGCCTTTTCGAGGCGTGTTGGATACTGGAGCAGATGTATCTGTAACAGCTAAAAAAATATTGGCCTTCTCACTGGCCCCTTACTGCCTCTCACACATCCTTACAAGGAATTGGCCATGCTACAGATCCACAGCAAAGCAGTGCTATTCTCAATTGGAAAGATGATGAAGGCCATTCTGGAACTTTTCAGCCTTATGTGCTGGATCATTTGCCCATTAATTTGTGGGGAAGAGATATTATGGAAAAAATGAGTTTTATTTGTTTAGCCAAAATGATGTAGTCACTCGACAACTCTTAGATCAAGGACTGCTACCTTCAGGGGGACTGGGGATTGGTCAACAAGGCATTCGAGAGCCCATTCAGCCACAGCCCTGACCAAATAGACAAGGTTTAGGATATTTTTAGCGGGGGCTGCTGCTCATCCTGCCTCTCACGCCGATCCTATTACATGGTTATCAAAAACTCCTGTGTGGGTGGATCAGTGGCCCCTATCAAATGAAAGGATTATTGTTGCCAGCAGCTGGTGCAGGAACAGCTGGAATTGGGCCATATACCTCCCTCTACTTCCCCATGGAATTCACGTATTTTTGTTATCAAAAAGAAATCTGGAAAATGGAGACTTCTTCAAGATCTCCGGAGAATAAATGCTACCATGGAACTTATGTGGCCGTTACAACCAGGTTTGCCCTCCCCAATGGCCATTCCTCAACATACATACAAAATAATAATTGATTTAAAAGACTGTTTTTATACCATATGCCTTGCCCATCAAGATTGCAAACTTTTTGCATTTAGTGTCCCTTCCACTAATTTTAAAGAACCCATGAAACGGTACCATTGGCTAGTGTTGCCTCAAGGCATGGCAAATAGCCCCACATTGTGTCAAAGTTTTGTAGCTTGGGCTCTTTCTTTTACTCACCAAAAATTTCCTTCTGTTTATATCATTCATTATATGGATGATATATTGTTAGCTCATTTAAACCCTACAGTACTACGACAAGCTTTTGGACAATTAAAACTAGACCTTAGCTATTTTGGATTAATTGTAGCCAATGATAAAGTGCAAGAGCATCCTCCGTTCACTTATCTTGGTTATATTTTGAGTTCTTATTATTTACTAGTCAAAAATTACAGATTAAAACTTCTCATTTGCGTACTTTACCTGATTTTCAGAAATTTCTGGGAGATATTAATTGGCTTCGCCCTTATCTTAAATTATCTAAAGCTGAATTAAAAACCTTTATTTGATTTGTTAAAAGGAGACCCTAACCCTGCATTCCTCAGAGAATTAACAATTGAAGTGGCTGAAGCTTTAAAAATAGTAAATTCTGCTATCTCTATCCAACATGTAAATTATATTGATTATTCAGCTCCTTGGGAAGCTTATATTTTAACTACACCTCATACTCCCACAGCGGTCTTCTGGCAGAAGGGACCCCTTTTATGGCTTTCTTTATCTGCTACCCCCTCAAAAGTATTAACTCCTTATTATGAATTGGTGGCTACTTTAGTTCACATGTGCCATGTGGAATCTTGTAAATATCTCGGACGAGATCCACATGCTATTTATATTCCCTATACATTACAATAGCAGGAATGGCTTTATTTTCATTGTGATTCCTGGGCTATTGCTTGGGCTCATTTTATGGGCCCAATTTCACATCATTTTCCCTCTAACAAATTGTTTCAATTTGCCTCTTCTTATACTTTCATATTTCCTTGAGTGGTATCTTTATCACCTCTTTCTATGGCTGCCTTAGTGTTTACAGATGGATCTTCTAATTGAATGGCCGCTCTTACTATTGATGGAAATACTACATCCTGGGATACTGGTCTTTCTTCAGCCCAGGAAGTTGAGCTCCAAGCAGGTTTACAGGCCCTTACACTTCTGCCTACTAGTGCTTTTAATTTATATTCAGAGTCATTATGTTATTCTAGCCCTTCAGGTTATTGAAACTGTCCCCTTTCTTGGAACAGCAAGTTCCACTATTCAAACTCTTTTTTGCCAAATACAGCTTCTTCTTCACTCTCACACTTGTCCATGCTATTTTGGATTTATACGTGTCCATACTAAACTTCCTGGTCCATTAAGTGAGGGCAATGCTATTACAGACAAGGCTACTTAAGTTTTTCTTACTCAAATTGATTTGGCAAAATAATCACATGCCATCCATCATCAAAACAGTCGTGCTTTACGCCCACAATTCCAAATCACTTGTGAGGCAGCTCGTCAAATTTTAAAGACCTGCCCTAGTTGTATACTTTCTTACCAGCGCCCTCCATTGGAATTAACCCTCGGGGTTTAGTTGCCAATCAGATCTGACAAATGGATATTACTCATATTCCATCCTTTGGACGGCTTCACTTTGTTCATGTTACTATAGATACTTATTCTAATTTTATTTGGCTACTCCCCTTGCTGGGGAGACTAGCAAGCATTGTATTTCCCATTCTCTGCATTGTTTCGCCACTATGGGACTTCCTAAATATATTAAAACTGACAATGGTCCAGGATATGTTGTACAAGCTTTCCAAAATTTTTGTAAATCTTATCAGATTATTCACACTACAGGTATTCCCTATAATCCTCAAGGTCAAGGAATTGTTGAACAAGCTAATGGTTTGCTCAAACATCAAAATTTTAAATTAAAAGGTGGGGAATTGTACCCCATCTCTCCTGTTAATATTCTTTCTCATGCTTTGTTTGTACTAAATTTTTTGAACTTAGATTGTAATGGCCTTTCCGCAGCACAGTGGTTTTGGGAAAAAAGAGAGCAAAGAGCTTTTGCTCAAGTTAAGTGGAAGGATACTTTAACAGGTGCTTGGCACGGGCCCAATCTGGTTTTAACATGGGGTCGAGGATATGTTTGTGTTTTCTCGCAGGAAGAAAACGACGCCCGCTGGTTGCCTGAAGGCTGCATTAGGATTGTGGAGGCTCATTCAGATGACACAAACGCTGACCCATTGGGCTTACAGCCGGATCCCCAGATTGTACACCCAGCGACCTGGAAGGGAGTTGAAGTACTCATTCATGTTACTAGATCAGCATATGGTACAGTCCCCGATCCTTTCATCCAATATATAAAACTGGGAGATTTCTCAGCTTCAAGTATTGGAACTCCTTTATGCTTTACCACCAATTTTTAAAGCTCCATTCCAGGCTGTACTTTTATGCAATCCATGACTCATAAAATTTGGATCCCAGACAAAAATCAAATATACAATATACAAATGACATCCTTGACAGCTGGCCATTTAGTTTTTGCAAATTCTACTCCATCCTATAGGATACCCCATTGCATTAATTCTTCACAGGTAGTAGAATCTACAGGAGAGCCTCATCCAATAAGGTGCAGACATGGGCAGCCATTTGTTACCAATATTTCTGGAACTAATTCTCAATTATTGGATTGGTCTGGAGCTAATCTTACTAATAAGTTTAATCCTGGATTGTGGTGGATGAATGGGCATCCTCAACATCATGTTTGGATGTTGGTGGCTGCACTTAATAATATAACTTGGCCCAATGCATCCCTTTTAAAAAATATTATGAGTTGTGTATCACCACCCCATGTTATTATGTATGGACCATTTAATATTTCTGTAGGAGCTAATTCATTTAATGTTACCTGTTCTAATTGTTCTTTTACTAATAACTTGTATAGCGGCATAACTGAATCCATACTTATTGTTAGACAACCACCTTTTGTTATGCTTCCTGTAAATATTTCTGAAACTTGGTATGAAGATTCTGGTATTCAGGTGTTAAAACAATTGAAAGAACTAATGCGCCCTCGTAGATTTGTTGGGCTACTTATAGTTGCTGTTCTAGCCTTTATTTCATTAGCTGCCTCCTCAGCAGCAGCTGCTGTGGCACTCACTCAAAATGTACAAACTGCCCATTATCTTAATCAGCTTGTTCATAATACTGCACAGGCTCTACACTTTCAAGGTAGGATTGATGATAAGGTAGAACAAAAACTAGAAGCATTATATGAGTCAGTATTGTCTTTAGGAGAACAAGTTCGCGCTCTGCAAACTTTACAGTGAGTGCGCTGTCATGCCAGGTTTGATTTCATTTGTGTGACTCCTCATATATATAATGAATCAAATCACTCATGGGAAAAGGTTGTAGCACATCTCAATGG